CAAATATTAATTTAATTATAATTTACTGTCGAAACATTTTTATAATGACTTGTATTTTAGTTTATATTCTTGTATGAGAATACAATTAATTGATATAGTACATATGGTAATAAATATTTGAAACTCTAATTCTAATAAATTATAAATACAATATTCTTACATGAAAATAACTCAAATTATATTTTTTTACATATAAAAAAAAAAGAAATGTTTGATTATTTGATTATAACTACGATAAAATATTATTTATTGAGTGTTATGTTTGTAATCAGAAATGTTAAATTAAAAATATTCAACGAAGCAAAATAAATTACAAAACTTTATTGTTTTTAATTTTTTAACTTAAAAGTTATAATAGATACTCTACAGTTTTAACTTTTAAATAAAGCACGGGTATATATAATAAACTATGTGGACATAAATTACAGAGATTCTATTATAAAAATGGTCGAAGATGAGCACCACTACATAATATATTATACCACTATATTATTATAAATAATATATTATTTATTTCGTGGTCTATTATACCAAATTTTGAACTTATGCTTTTCCTTGAGTGCTAATTCATTTATACGAGAACGTTCATAGTTTATGATTAGTGCTCAGTTATCGAACACAATTTTATTAAACGATCAATGGATCGATAATTGTATTTGCAGGTTATAAATGGTAATACATTCGTTTAATAGCTTCAGATATATTATAATTTAGGTAGTTACTATCATTACTTATTTCAGTTGAAATAAATTCGTATAATAAAAAAAAGACAACTGAAATATACGTTTTAAAACATATTACGTCATTAGATATTTGTAGTTATGGTGTACACAAATTAAATGCAAATTTTTCTTAAATTTAAATTTGTTTATGTTTAAAACAATTTAACACCATGAAGTTGGTCATATAATATTATTTGTATTTAAAACCAACAAATATTATTTGATTAATTTTATAAATCTTAGATACTTGTTAATTTATTGTGTTACAACGTTATATTAGTTATGTTCGAACGGAAATACTCACCAACAAACTAATTGGTTCTTTTTCGCTGTCGCATTTAATAATAATTATACGGAAAATATAGTTAATTGTACGATCAATAAAACACTGCACTACGATGTACTATGTACTGTTATAAGTAGTATCATTAAAATTTAAATATAAATTAATTTGTTAATTAAATTTATTTTGGAGTATTGATTGATATTAAATAAAAGGAGAAATTTAAAACATTTTAGTTTTACATGATGGCACAGTTATTGGCTGAATATAGGTTACGCAATTTATTTGATTGTAACTAAAAAACACTAAACAGTGATTTTCTTAACGTGTAAATATAACATGATAGAAATGTATGAATAGACTAAGGTGTGTCAACAAAGTTAAACGAAAAAATCATTTAAAAACAACAGTCTTTTATATTTATAAATTAATAGCTAAATTTTATCTATAACTGTATAATAATTTGTATCTTCAGCACTCTTAGTTTATTTATTCAATGTATTCAATTTAAATTATGTATAACTACCGACCACTAATATAATATTATTTCAAAACGGTATGCAAATTTTAATGTCTTAACTCGATTCTTCTATTTTATCTCGATTGATGACTACCTGTTTATAATAATAACATCGGGACCATGACTGACAACGCATACTTAAATGTCGCAGACACATTATTTTTATTTTATTTTAACAGTTTTTTTTTTTTTTCATCATATAATATGAAAGGTTCGAAAGTAAACATCGTATGGAATTGAGAAACTGAACCGCGGAAAAAACGATTATAATAATATTATTATATTATAATGGAATTTCTGTAAGTATTTATACCCACGATAACGCGAGAATTAAATTTTTAAATTTCAATTTTCCACTGTCAGCTGATGACAATGAGAGGTGATTGCGGTATTGACGTGATAATAATAATATAACTACAAATTCTGTTGAAATTATACACCTAAAATGTGGTTACAAATCGGCTACGCAGTACATAATGTCGTATTGATTCACAATTTGTAATGTAAAATATTATACACAGTTTAATAAACAATATTAATATGTTCCATAGTTATAAGACTCGCATAGGGATGAATTATCATTAAAGTAATATGATATTTTGTCGATTTCATACATTATTATAATATGGTATTTAATAATTTATTTATTTTTTCAAACATTTTCTTTAAAAAATAAGCATTGGTCAATGATATTGTATGTCTCTATACAAATTGCATAGCGTATAATTGTTTTTTTTTTCGTATAAATATTTTCAGACTTAAAATTACGGTAAATATAATTACATTGAACAGTCTGCTGAAATTAAAGTTTTGTAAGTTATTCGATAGTTACTAAAACTTTACTTGTTTAGCAATTATTTTGTTCAAAGTGTATAGTAAATCATTTTTTTTTTTCGTGGTATTCCTACGTTCGATTTTCCCGTCAGTAGTGATCTATTAGTATATTGGTAGAGATTTAAACCAGCTACTCGTATAGATTTTATTTATTTTATTTTTAAATACTTGAATATAACCTATTATGATACAATAAAAATAATGAAGACTAAAAAAAATGTATTCAACTTTATAATACATTACATAAGTAAGGTAATTTATGGTATAATTAAAATAAATTAACATTAGATTTTAAAATGGCAATGTAATGTATCGTTATTATATCAATATAATCATTCTTTAAATACCATAATTAAATGAATACAATGAAGAAGCTATACATTATCTATCTATAGAATATAAAATATTTTATATCTACACTTTTTTCTAATATTAAAGAATTGATTGTACCTACTATAATATAGTAATAATTGTGTTATATTATATTAATTTATTTGTTGATAATCAACGCCCTAAATGGGCTCAGTATAGTTTATACAATACAATTTAATACTTAGAGTTATTATACAAATTATATTATAATTAATTATTGATAAGAAAACAAAAGTAAATTATATAAGAATAGAGTAAACATTTTAACCTGGTTAGATTGTCATTGAAGAAATCAAAATAGTTTAATGAATTCTCCGTAATTAGCATTTTATTAACTGAAGCAAAACGACTATAATTCTGCCAGCAGGTATTTGTATAGAATATTTGAGACACACTAGTTTGAACATAAGGGACATTTAAAGGTATATGACTTTTAAGTTCTGGACAATCGATTTAATAGTTAAATAATTTTTAAAGCCAAAGCACATAATTCAATTTTCTTCTTGTTTCAAGTGATTCGATATTGAACTAATCTGTTAGCTGCTCAAAAGATGTACCTATTTTGTTTGTTTTAAAAATTAACGCATGTAGAAATCAATTTTAAATACATTCTATTTTGTTTATTAAGTTATGTTGATGAGTGTTCCAAATTAATGAGTCATATTCTAAAATAGATCGAACTAGAGAGAAATATAATACTATTAAGCAATTTGGATTATTAAGCTCTGAGTAATTGCGACGTACGAAACTGAATATACGGAGAGTTTTATTACACATCATATTAATATGATTGTTAAAAGATAGGTCACACTCTATAATAAAATACCTAAATCTTTAATTTTTGGTTCTATGTTTAATCCACATTTTATATTGATATTCAGTTAAATTTAATTTTTGATATGAAAAATATATTTTTCAACATTAATCTGTGTTAATAATTAAGAAATTTAACGAGCACGTTCAATAAAATTGAACTAAATCAGATTCTAATTAATCATTATCATTAGTAGAATAAATTGGTTTATTTTCTAAAAAATGTTTACTATAAATTAGTTATTTATTTATTTATTTATTTTTTTTTTTTTTTTTGATAATAGATTAAGTATTTAATTAATACTAATAGGTGTATTATAAATATTATGATGAATATAAAATAAAATAAAAATTAGGTATATGACACGTAAAATGACCACTTATTTTCCGATTTAATGAATAAGAATACTGTAATAACGACACAAAATAAAATCGGCATGTTTTTTTGACAGTAATTTATTGGTACACAAGGTATCCAACAGTTTTTTTTTTTTTTTTTTAATATACGTTCGTCGTTGAATTAACAATAATGCTCAGGATCGTATGAATCATGGTTAAAATATCAAAATACATTTTCACAGTTACCTAGGAAAGATAATTAGTTTATAGAATTAAATTTAAATAATAATTCAATATTCGCATAGACGCATAATACGTACACGCGATTTGTATTAGCTCTAAAATGGATAAAAAAAAAAAATAAAACCGTATTGTTTTCAATCTCTTAACTTTAAGAGTTGTAGATACCGGTATGAGTAGTATCCATCTTACAAACCCGTAACATACCAAATTTAAGTTCAAGAGTAGTGATCATCCGTTTAATGATTAAAGTTTTAATAGAATAAATTAGAGTGAACGGATCCAACATCGTGTTAAAAGAACATTATCTGTATTTTATTATGGGTTTTTGTTTTCGACTTACAGTTTTAAAGCTAGTCGTCAAAAGCGTTTTCACGACATAACACTGTACGTACGTACACCTATACAAGCAGCCTATTAAATCGATTGATTCGTATTTACGGTCCATAATATTATGCTCATCCAGATTTTTGGTAAAGGGTGCGAAGACGTAATCGTTATTGTTTAAAAGAGACACCGTGTCAGAATATTAGTCGCAGTGAAAACGTTTGATCAAATCGAATCAAATGAAAAAAAAAAAAAAACGTCGTTTTAGACATTCGAAACCGCGTGCGGGGTAACAGATATCATGACTGCAGTCTATACCTACCTATCGGTAAAAAACAAAGTCGTTTCCGGTTTCGCGTCATCCGTACGCCGGGGACGCGGGTCGTACGCATCGTCGAACACGTCCGGTGGTCTCGCCGCGCGTCTAACCCGAGGACGAGCTATAATATTACGATACCACGCCTGACGGCGTACACTCAAGTCATATCATTATCATTATTATCATTATCATCATCGTCATCGCGTTAGCTAGTCCTGCCAGGACACTCACCGCAGGAACGACCGGAGGAGGAGGCGGCAGCATGGGCACCATGTGAAGGTATGTGCGCCGGCCATTTCGGTCGCGATCCGGCGACGGCGTGTGCTGCTGCTGCTGCTGGTGCTGCTGCAACCGGCGCGGTGACAGTACGACCCTGTCCTGTTGTGCGGCCGCAGCCATCATCGGGATCCACATCGGCCGCGGCCGTGTACGCGCCGCATCCGCAACTGCTCAAATCGTGTCCGCCATGACGCCGCCGCGAGTTCGTGGTGGACACCGCCCAAACACCTGGCGAAAGATACGAAACGATTTCCGTGATAAGTGTTGTGATAACGACGGCAATATAATATTATTATTTATAGTGATGATAACACGATATCCGTGTTATAAACAATGACGTTTTTCGATAGACAGGGGGGGGGGGGTGTTAGCTTTCGGGGTGGTGAAAATCGAGAAAACTTTAGCCATTCGACGTGGGGACACAGACTACTAAAAAATAGCTATAAGCACCCACTGCGATACGTCGATATGACGTGTATAGGCGCACTGAACACTAAAATCCGTAGGTATACGGTATAATAGGACGGAGTGGGTTCTTGTTATTATTGTCGGTGAAAACGATTGTTTTTATTTGTTTATATGATTGCCTATTATACGATAAGAATATTATCTAGAACATTACGTATTTTTTTATTTTTTTGTTTTTTGTTTTGTTTTAGGAATCTCATGAATTTTAAAATCCTCACAAATCGTTTCAGAACTATAATATCAGAAAAAAAAATTAAGAAATTCCCGAGTAAATATTCTTACATTACAATATTGTATAAAAATATATTGGATCAAATCACTAAAACATTAAAAATAACATAGTGAAATGTATTTTTTTTTAAATTTAATTAGCCATGTTATGCGTTAGTAACTATAGGACATGCGGATGGCGTTATTTCAAATTGGTAAGATTACTGTTGAAAATTATCTTTAAAAGTTTTAGTTACATTTGAGAAAATTAAACTTTATCGAGAGCTTTGAAACCTATTTTATCACATCTGAAAACAGACATGTTTTTTTTTTTCGAAGAAAGGTATTGGAATTTATAAAGTTTATTTAAAAAAAAATTCGATACACTTCTTCCAGTGTTCTAAATACATATTTTAAACTATTTGAACATTTTTTTTGATTTCTAAAAAATAGTTTTATTTTTATATATTATCTAGTTTAAAGTATATTTAAACAAGTACATATTATGTTACTATCATTCATCTGGAGGGTATGATTTTATGTTTTATTTTAAATAATTATTTCATTGCAATCTGTTTTTTATTATTTCATATTCGGAAATAGAATAATATTTTGTTTTTAAATTAAATATATAAATACTAAAAATATTAAATATTCTCCATACGTTTTTATTTTTAATCGTCATTTAAAGTTTAGATGAATTCGTGTTCACTATATTTTATATATTACCATAATAAGGAGAATATTTTATACCCATTAAAAATATTTATTAATCAAAATATCAGTTAATTCACGGCTCAGTAATAATAAGACTCAATAATTAACCTTATTTCCGTCTTAGTAGAAATATAGATAAGTATGCTTTTTGAGAAAAATGTATATTAAATCACACAAAGTTTTGTGACGTCTTTTGAAAAATCCAGGTAGCATGAAATTGTTTTATTAACCATGTCCTAAGTCCATATAAAATCGTTTTTAATGTGAACATTTTTTTATCAAATCGATTTTAAATGAGAAAAATAACATTGTGTTGAGCTTAGTGTAAAAAATAAATATTGGTTACAATATTTTAAATTGTTCAAAATTAAACTACTTTTACACTTGGTATACACATTTTCATAATACAATTAAAAAAAATATATTGTAATTATTTTACTTAAACATATAATATTTGTCTATAATCTATATACTATCAGAAGGTCGAAATTTTAAGTTTTCTAAACTATGTTATAATAAAATTAAAAAAAAACCAATATTCACTTATAACTAGTTATAACTATATAAAATATTGTGAGGATTTAGCAATTAAACCAATAGTCTTACAACATTTCATTTTTATGTACAAAAAAAATTGAAATTAAAAGGTTTATTATTTTATTTATCGCAGAAGCAGTGTGTAGATCACAAAGTTTGCTGTATTTCAAATTTATGACGGCTGAATTGTTAATTTTCATTAAGCATTCTTATTGTGGTTTTATGTACGTTTTAAAGTGTTGACAGAAAGTGGATATGAAGTAGTATTTTTCATAATGGATGCGATATAATTTACGAGGATAAACGAGGGGCAAGACTCTTAAATAAATCTATATTATAATATGTAGCTGTACGTTTTTAACCAACCGTAATATTTTTTAAACCTATCTTGTGGAATAGATTTTAACCATGCGCTATATACACATACATACAGGGTGATGTGTGTGGTACGGTTTAAGGTGATTATTTCAGTATAATATACAATGTACATTGCCATCCTTAATAATGATAACTACTATAGTTATAAATATGAATTCTATGATCAAAGTGAAGAATTATAGTTAAAATAGAACAACTGGACTGACGCTTATAAATATTATGTCATTTTTGTGATCCAGTGATGGACATATATTTGCTTCATTTAAAAATATACATACTATAATAAGGCTAAAATAGCTCTCCCGATTACCGCCTCAAAATTTTGATTAATTTTATATGAACTATTTTTTTTTTTTTTAATTTATTAATTATTATGTGAAATTAAATATCAACAACATAACATTCAAAAATAATTTCTGTATCAATAACCAAACATCGTTTAATTATACATTTTTATTTTTCTAAATACCAATTACACTAATTACTATAATATAAATTTTGTTCCATGAAATAACAATAAATAAAAATAACGTCTGATATATGAACTAAATTAATTTTTAATTATTTATTTTTCTTGTGTGTATTATTGTAGGGTGGTATTACATTTGTGAGAATTTATATAAATTGCAATGTGTTTGAAATTTAAATTTAGCACAATTCGTTTGGGGCGAATGGTTTTAAAATATTGTATCGTGTATAAGTGACCTTTTTTTTTTTTAATATCCTGTGATGCGTGTGAATGATATTTTATCATTCCATTTTTTCTCACATACTGACAGACTTTGAATTGTCTGTATAGATATATCTTTAAATTTAGAAATTGCTACTATAGAATATAACCTATAATAGTCAATTTAACTTAATAGTTATTATAATTACATACTTTATTCTACAGATAACGACATAATTAATAATTCGTTATGAACTATTTTAGATAGGTAGTCAGTATAAAATTACAGTCAATAATGTAACAATAATAATAACCAATAAATTATAAATTTAGAATTACTATATTAAAAATATTAATTGTTTTAATAAAATAATTTTCCCACATGCGTTGTATAAAAATTTAATTCTCACCTGATATATTTTTATCCTTACTTGTTTTTATATGCTCTTTTTTTTATCTAATATAATTTTTCCTCGAAAATTGTAAATATTATTTGAATATTGTACATTGTAGAACCTGGTAGAAGCAGCGTGGTGTCAATCCTGCGTCTTGTAACCGTCAAACATGGTAAGCAATTGGACGATGTGAATATTATTTAAGACTCTTAAAATGTATGCTACCACTAAACTAAACCGAAATTGACATGTTTTTACCGAACATTTCGTCTGCAATGTATTTGCTCAAACACATTGTAGGAACTCATCCAAACATGTTGTTTTATTATGCGGGTAAAACAGTAATTCGTCCAAACGCATTACGCGTTCATGACGAGCATGAATCGTTTTCATTAGAAGTTTATCTTGTCCTCATACGCCATTACTAATTTTGTTCACATGTGACATTGACAAACTTCACTTTTATTTGGGGAAACGAGAAAAATGTCGATAATGAAATTATACCACGCTTGTATTTACATAATATTTATTTATTTTTTTTTATTGACTTTAATAGTATATAATATTCGTCTGACTCAATAATTGGGTTTAGATTTCTTACTAGTGCTTAATTATTCGTAAAATATAAAAAATGTTTGTAATAGTAATTAATGTATTTATTAAAATACATAATATTATACCATTCTTCAATATTTTATTGTATTTTAAATTAACAAAAATTTTATTTAACAGCTTTCAACTTTTTTATATTTTCTTCGAATTTTTTCAGAATAGAAAATAAATATTTATAATAAAGTAAGGAAAAAAAATCAAATGATTAATAAAATGTTTGATGATTAAAAAATGCAATCTTCTAAAATCTCATTTGTTATAAGCTGGTATCAGTTTTCAAGAGGAAATTTACATATTTGAAAGAGATGTCCGTTGCGTCTTTCGTGACAATGTTTATAGTATTGACTTAATAATATTACAAAATACTTTTGTGCTTCCTCAAAGAAAAATGTATCTACACTACGACCTTATCGTGCGATGGTGTCGCGCCATGCGGATAATTAAATTGTTATTTTGATATAAATTTAGTTGGATGAAGGTATACATTTTCACGGAGATAATGCATATATGGGTAGTTTCTATGTAAGTATCCATGGTAATGTCGTGTTTACAATTTATTGTGCTTTGTAGACAGTAAATCACAAGGTTTACGTATATATATATATATACCTATTGTAAGCCCGTCTTCATATGGATGCAATCGACTTAAATAATAATAACAATAATAATATTAGTACTAATAATAGTAATATAAATTTGAAAAAACGACCATAATTAAATTTATCAATTAAAGTTTCCTTCAGTCTTTTCAGTCTTTCACATTGTACCTACCTACATTATAATATATTATAATATTAAAATATTACAATGTGTTCCGTATACCTATATTTTTATAACATAATCTGCACCATAATTTGCATTTCGAGTGATAGTTTTTAGTTATTATTTTTCGCTTATTCATTGCATACGAATAAGTCAATAAATAACTCGTAATGAATTATAATATAGTTTTTTTTTTTTTAATGGGATAAATATGATACAATGGCGCTTAACAATACAGTTACGTTAAAATGAATATTTTAAAACATTATCGAGTGCATAATAATATAATAATATACAGTATAATATAATAAATTTACAGGTCTAAATCATACCTACACTTAAACATTATAATATAATATATTCTATTCAGCGATCGTAAATTCACTAAAATAATAATAATTTTTTTTTTTCAATGAATACACTCGCAAATGGAATCATATTTGTTTTTTAACGAACATCAAAGGAAAATTAATTAATTT